TGCTGTGTTCCTCCAGCTCCACACCTTGTTATCTCATTTACCATAATTTCACAACGTTTTGCCTTCATGTCAACGATGGAGGCTGTGTGCGGCTTCGGAATCAATTTATTTGGAAACAGATGATCGTCAACAACCCCTGGCTTTTTAAAAGATTTCACCTCACACTCTTGAGAGCCATCATCAGAAAAGTTCATCACCAAAATTGGAATGTTCCTGCTTTTGTACAATCTTCCAATCGTGGTCATTTGTCCATCCAGTGATTTGAATCATTCCATCATTGGTGACCATTCCTTCAGCTACCTGGGCCCTAAACTCTAGCATTTCTTCTGTAAACCTCGCTGTCTTTCCCTCCTCTGGAATACTCCCTTTTATATTTACTTTGTTAAACACCTGGTCTTAATCTTCCTAAAACATCCTTCAGTGACTCAGTGTTGTATGCTTCTGTGAAATGCCTTGGGATGTTTTCCTGTGCTAACATTATCTGGAGAATGGATTCAACAGTGTCTCCATTACACAGTAGGTGGAATCAAGGACATCCTTTGATCCCCTGAATCAGAGATCACTAGTGACTCCTGCTCTAGCTTGTAATCTCTCCACTGCATTAGGGATGGTGCTACCCAATTTCACTCTTTCCCCACAATGTCCTTCATAGACATAGAATCCCTACAGAGTGGAAATAGGCCCTTCAGCCCAACAAGTGCACACCCAGCCTCAGAACATCCCACCCAGACCCGTCCCCTTGTAGTCCACCTAATCTACACATCCCTGGACACTGTGGGCAATTTAGCATGGCCAATTCTCCTAACCTGCACATCTTTGGACTGTGGAAGGAAACCGGAGCACCTGGAGGAAACGCATGCAGACATGGGGAGAATGTGCAAACTCCACACAGACAGTCACCCAAGGGTGGAATCAAACCCGGGTCCCTGGCGCTGTGAAGCAGCAGTGCTAACCGCTGAGCCACCGTGCCATCCTTGTCTTTCATCTTTCTATCTTTATGCTAGCAATTGGCAGGGGACAGTACAAAGTACACAAGGTATCCTGATTGTGTGTGACAGACTAGATGGAACATAGACTCCTTTTCTATCTACCATTGCTTGTCTATTTGTAAGGTGAAAGCTGAAGGGCAAGATCGTTGCAGAGTCTGATCTGGTGTGTTTGTTTAAAGGTATATTGAGAAACTTATGCCAGAGAAACACATCTTTCTGTTCAAATTGAGTTCTCGCTCAGTGAATAAAACATCGCAAGTAATGTAAATCGGTTTGAAATTTTTAACTTATGAATCTTTAAGCCTGAACTAGTATTTCTGTATGCCCTCAAACAGATTATTTCCCTTGCAGGTAAAACATGCCTCACAGCAAGAAGCCTTTAGCCGAAAGAAGCGAGGATATCGGAGTATTCGTGAAATTGGTATCATGATGAATGATCCTTTGTTTACTAAACAATGGTATCTTGTAAGCAACATCTGACTTACCTACATTTCTTTTACATGTTACTTGCCGTTTATGACCCTCTGCTGAAATTTTTCGTTGATATGTTGGCACAGCTGGTGAGGCTGACATTTTTCGCTCCTCCCCAGTTATCCTGAAAAAGGAGTGGTCCTCTCAAACTGCTGCACATTGTGTGTGCCAATAGGTGCCCACTCCCAAAGGTAGGACGGACCAGGCTATGAACCCAGCAGTGATGTATAAAGAGCGATTGATACCTGAAGCGGGTATGTATGAGAGATAACAAGGTGTAGAGCTGGATGAACACAGCAGGCCAAGCAGCATCATAGGAGCAGGAAGGCTGACGTTTTGGGCCTAGACCCTTTTTCTTCTAGGAGAGCAAGAATTAGAAGAAAAGGTTTAGAAATATTCATTCTCCAGCTTTCATTGTTTCATTAATTCCCAATTAGGAACAAACTTTTGTTTATCAAAATTAAAATGGGATTTTCATATTTATTGGGATTCTATTTTACTTAATTGCCAGCAATGAATACTACTGGCAAGTCGAGGCATTTATTGCCCATACCTAAAGAGCCTTAATTGTTTAGCTATTTCACTGGGCGGTTAAGAGGAAAGCACATTGCTGTGGGTCTGGAGTCACATGTAGGCCAGACCAGGTAAGAATGGCAGTTTCCTTCCCTAAAAAACATGAGTGAGCGAGATGGGTTTTCAGTACAATCTGCATTTATGTCCTCACTGTTGCTAATACTATGTTTCCATTGATGATTTATTTATTACATTTAAATTTCTTCTACCTTGCCACCTACAAGAGGCACTACAGTAACTCACCAAGCCTGCTTTGGCAGCAGCTTCCAAACCCACCATCTACCTCAACCATCTGGAAGGACAAGGGCAGCAGATACATGGGAACACCACCCCCAGCAACTTCCCCTCCAAGCCACTCACCATCCTGACTTGGAAATACATTGCCATTCCTTCACTTTCGCTGGGTCAAATCCTGGAATTCCCTCCCTAACAACATTTTGGGTCTACGTCAGAGAAGTGCTAAGGAGGCCATTCAGCCCATTGTAGGTGCACCAGTGCTGTCGCCTGGTGCCAATCTCCTGCCCCTATATCCCAGCGCACCATTTCTATCCAAATAGTCATCTAATACCCTCTTGAATTGCCTACACCCTATGAACTACTGCAGCAGTTCAAGGACACTGCTCCCAACCACCTTCACCAGGGCAATTAGGGATGGGCAATAAATTCAAGCCTATCCGACCATATCCATCTTCAATGAGAAAATGATTTAAATTAAAATGTTGTCCTCAAGAAGTTGGTGGTGATCTATATCGTGGATTGTGACCTCAACTGCAGTTTTCCATTTAACCCCCATTAAACTTTTGACTTCTATTAGACAAGAATCTATTGACGTCAGCCTTAAAAGTATTCCAAGATCCCCATCTCCATCTCCCTGTCTCTCTAGGGAAGAGAGTTCCAAAAGACTCAAGGCCCTCCAGAGAGGAAAAGAAACATTTTCTACATCTTGATGTTGAATGGGAGAGCCCTTGTGTTTAACGCGTGTTCCTCAGTTTAAGTCTCTCCTCCAAGAAAACACATATCCTTTCAGCGTCCTCCTTGTCAAGTCCCCTCAAGATCAACGTGATCACCTCTCATTCTGGGAAAGAGGGACCGGGTTTTGTTTTCAAGGAATCATGAGCAAACGCAGTTGCCTGACAGAGGAACTGTTTGAACTCCCAGGCTCAGGGCCAGAAAGGGAATGGGCAGAGGTCTCAGTGAGGACTCGAGGAGGAGGTCCCTGACATTCAGGTAAATGAGATGGGAAACAGAGCAAAGGTGGGGAAACAGAAAAGGCTGGGGTTCCCTTTGTATTCTTCTAATCCCAATCCCAGTAACCCTCCCGGTTTGCTGCTGTCATCCCTGAGACAGCACCTGTTTCAACTGAGTCTTGCTTCAATCCCAGCGATGTCAGGACAAGACAGTCCTGGTGCTAATATCATGAGGACCACCTGCCTGCAGTGAGGACTTTGAAATACAGGAGGAAAGCAGGCTATTCAGTCCTTCAATGTTACTGGGCCATTCAACCAGACCACAGCTCTCTTACCCTGCCACATTCCTGCACTGCATCTTTAAAATCTTTAATATCCAGGAATCTATTTCTTGATTTAATCTTTTGATTTCTGCCTTGAATCTACTCCATGTTTGAGCCACCATCGCTCTCCAGGAAAGAGATGCCCAGAAGCCTTCGTTTGCTGGGGATTTGGGGGTTTTGTGTCCATGGGCTGTCCCAGGCCCTACGTTTACCCCCTCACCTCACACCCCACACCCCACCTCAACCTCCATTTTTGTTGGACAGGGAGGGTTGAAGTCATGATTGAGATTTGAGAAAGAAACAGGTGCATCTTTTCCTGCTGAAACAGGTCAACACAGGGCAAGCTGATGGAACTCCTGGCTTAGACCTGAATGTGGCTGAGGCTTGGGAGTTGGGATATACTGGAAAAGGAGTAACCATCGCTATCATGGACGACGGTAAGAGATAATGACATGTCACTGCTCTTGACAACATGCTGCTCTGTTTCTTTTAATGGATAATGCATTTCTGGGGAACCTTTCCCCAGTTATAATTGCCCACTAAACACACAACACTTGTATTTAGACTTAATGATATTGATTGATGTACTTGCTGCTGAAGGAATTGTTGCACTGACACTCAGAGCAGATTCTGGGGTAGCACAGTGGCTCAGTGGTTAGCACTGCTGGCCCCCACAGCACTAAGGACCTGGGTTCAATTCCAGCCTTGGGTGACTGTCTGTGTGGAGTCTGCAAATCCTCCTTGTGTCTGTATGGGTTTGCTCCAGTTGCCTCTCACAGTCCAAAGATGTGCATGCTAAGTTATCCATAGTGTCCAGGGATGTGCAGGCTAAGTGGGTTAGCCATGGGAAACGTGGGGTTACAGAGAGAGGGTTCAGGGGGTGGGTCTGGGTGGGATTCTCTTTGGAGGGTTGGTATGGGCTGCATGTAAGGATTTTACACCATAACTGAGCAAACAGAGGGAATGCTGGAGAAACGCAGCAGGTCTGATAGCATCCGTGGAGAGTGAAACAGGGTTAACATTTTGAGTCTGGTATTACTGTTCTTAAAGGTGACACCTCGATAAGAAAATGTCAGCATGTTGACCATTTCATTAAAGCTGAAAAGCAATAGAGACCTCGGAGTAGGGTTCTGGTGAAGAGTCACCTGACTTGAAACGTTAACTCTGTTTCTCTCTCCACAGATGTGGCCAGACCTCCTCAGTTTCTCCAGTAATTTCTGTTTTCGTTTCAAATTTCCAGCATCCACCATTCTTTGTTCTATGTTAACATTACATAATTGGATAATGGATGTCACTAAAGTGATACAACTGTTCTGAGGAAGACTCATATTGAACGTGAAATGATAAATTTTGCTTCCCACTCAGCAGATGCTGCCAGACCGACTGAATTTCTACAGCATTCTCTGTGTTTGTTTCACATTTCCAGCATCCTCAGCCGTGGAATCAGAGTATCATACAGTACAGAAGAGGCCCTTTGGCCCATCAAGTCTATATCACCTCCACAGCCTTGAAATTTATGACATTTCAAGTGCTCATCCGAGTACTTTTTAAAGTTTCGGTGGTCCCTGCCTCCATTACCCTCCCAGGCAGTGCATCCTGGACCCCAGCTTTCACCATAACTGTGCAAATGCCTTTTATCCCAGATAATTCTAATGCTGCTTCTCACTGCTTCAAAGCTGCTGAAAATTGTAATTTGATCAGTTTGTAGAACCTTCCTTTACACATTTAAATTCCATTTATGTAACCTCCTTATTATTTTAATGCAGGCATTGATTACTTGCACCCTGACCTTGCGGAAAACTATGTAAGTATACAGCAGATTTTTCTTGCATGTAATTTATTTTGATGGAAGTGGTGAAAGTGTTGATCGACATTACAAGCAATAAAAGATAATAATTGATTGCCTGCAGACTGCAAGCAGTTGCTTCTTTGAATACCAAATGAACAGAAGCAGCAAACTGGCAGAATTCCTAAACTTTCATCGAGGTGTAATACGTTTTTAAAAAGGAAGGACTGCAGATCGATGGAACTGTACCATTTGTCACCGAAGATGTGACTGATTATACAATCCAGGTTCAGATTCGAGACAACAGCTACACTTGAGACATGCTTGTTTTGATACAAGGATCTCAACAACACATGAATCCTTACACAATGCGCGTTTTAGTCCAGACGAACACATCAGAGTTAAGTCATAGAGCCATACAGCATGGAAACTGACCCATCAATCCAGCTAGTCCACGCCAACCAAACTAAATTAGTGCCACTTGCCTATGTTTCGTCCATATCCCTCCAAACTTTCCTATTCATGTACTTATCCAAATGTCTTTTAAACATTGTAACTGTACCTGCACCCATCACTTCCTCTGGCAGTTCATTCCACACACGAACCACTCTCCATGTAAAAAAAGTTGCCCCTCATGTCCTTTTTAAAATCTTTCTCCTCTCACCTTGAAAGTACGCCCCCCAGTTTTGGAAAAAACCCTTGTTATTCTGTACCTATGGCCCTCATGATTTTATAGACCTCTATAAGGTCACTCCTCAACTTCCTACGTTCCAGCGAAAAATGTCCCAGCCTCTCCTTATAATTCAAACCCTCCATTCCCAGCCACAGCCTGGTAAATCTTTTCTGAACCCTCAACAGCTTAATATCCTTCCTTTAACTGGGCAACCAGGACTGTACGTGGTATTCCAGAAGAGGCCTCACCAATGTCCTGTGCAATCTCAACATGACTTCCCAACTCCTGTACTCAAAGGACTGAGCAATGAAGGCAAGCGTGCTAAACACCTTCTTAACCACCCTGTCTACCTGTGATGCAAATTTCAAAGATGTACCTGAACCCCTAGGTCTCCCTGTTCGACAACACTACCCAGGGCCCTACCGTTATTTGTATGAACCCTATAAGTAGTGATGGCTTCATGGAGACACACACAGTCCTGGTCACCAGATCACGGGAAAGATGAGATCACACTTGAGAGAAAACAGGAGCCTAATGAGAATTTTCTTTTCTTCATTCACGGGATGTGGGCGTCATTGGCTGGCCTGGCAGTTGTTACCCTGGAGAAGTTGGTGGTGAGCTGCCTTCTTAAACTACTACCATCCATATTGTGCTGTTATGATAGGAGTTCCAGGATTGTGACCCAGCGACAGTGAAGGAACAGCGATATATTTCCAAGTCAGGATGGTGAGGGTCATGGAGGGGAACCTGCAGATGGAGATGTTCCATGTATATGTCCTTCTGGATGGTAGTGGTCAAGGGGTAGTGTAGAGTGTGGCTGGAGAAGGTTGCTTATGTGACTGGAACCCCATTGTGCAGTGGTGTACCACAGGGATTATTGCAGGCTTCCTTATAGTTTGTGATATTCATAAATGATGGAGATGAGAATGTGGGGCATTGATGATTAAATTTGTGGATGACACACAGATAGGCTGGGTGGTTGACAGAGAGGAGGAAGGTGTTGGTTACAGAATGACAATAAGGGGATTGGTCAGATGGGCAGATCAGTGGCAGGGAATTTAACCCTAATAAGTGTGAGGTGATGCACTTTGGAAGAAGGAACAAGACAAAGGAGTACTCAGTGAATGGCAGGACACTAGAAAGCACAGAGGAACAGAGGGATCATGGGATGCTTGTCCACAGATCCCTGAAGGTAGCAGGACAAGTTAATAGGGTGGTTAAGAAGGCACACAGGATGCTTGTCTTTATCATGTCTCAACAAAGAAATAAAACTGTTCGGACCAGCTGGCGTTGAACTAGGAACTGGAAAAGATTAACTGCAGAAACAGCCCTGTTGACCTTACTAGCATCTGGGGGTTAGTGCCAAAACTGGGAGAGCTGTCTCACAGACTAGTCAAGCAACAGCCTGACATAGTCATAGTCACAGAATCATACCTTACAGACAATGTCCCAGACACCACCATGACCATCCCTGGATATGTCCTGTCCCAAAGGCAGGAAGGACCCAGCAGAGGTGGTGGCACTGTGGTATACAGTCGGGAGGGAGGTGCCCTGGGTGTTCTCAATATTGACTAGGCCCCATAAAGTCTCATGTCTTCAGGTTAAACAGAGCAAGGAAACCTCCTGCTGATTACAAAGTACCATTCTCCCTCGGCTGTTGTGGGTGACAGGACCACAAAATGTGCTCTGGGTGAGGGATTTCAATGTCCAACACCAATAGTGGCTCGACCGCAGTACTACTGATCGAGCTGGTCGGGTCCTAAAGGACAGAGCTGCTAGACCGGGTCTGCAGCAGGTGGTGAGGGAACCAACAAGAGGGAAAAACATACTTGACCTCATCCTTACCAATCTGCCAGCTGCAGTTGCATCTGTCCATGACAGTATCGGTAAGAGTGACCATCGCACAGTCCTTGTGGAGAGGAAGTCCCGCCTTCATATTGAGAACAACCTCCATCATGTTGTTTAGCACTATCACTGTGTTAAATGGGACAGACTTCGCACAGATCTAGCAACTCAAGGCTGGGTATCCATGAAGCACTGTGGGCCATCAGCAGCAGAATTGTACTCCAGCACAATCTGTAACCTCATGGCCCGGCATATCCCCCACTCAACCATTACCATCAAGCCAGAGGATCATCCCTGGTTAAATGGAGAGTGCAGGAGGGCATGCCAGGAGCAGCACCAGGCTTACTGAAGATGAGGTATCAACCTGGTGAAACTACCAAACAGGACTACTTGCACGCCAAACAGCATAAGCAGCAAGTAACAGACAGAGCTAAATGATGATCCCACAACCAACAGATCAAATCTAAGCTCTGCAGTCCTGCCACATCGTGTTGTGAATAGTGGTGGACAATTAAACAACTCACTGGAGGAGGAGGCCCCACAAGTATCCCCACCATCCAATGATGGAAGAGTCCAGCACATCAGTGCAAGATAAGGCTGAAGCATTTGCAGCAATCTTCAGCCAGAACTGCTGAGTGGATGATCCATCTCAGTCTCCTCCAGTGGTCCCAGCATTACAGATATCAGTCTACAGGCAATTCGATTCACTCCACGTGATATCAAGAAAAGTTTGGAGGCACTGGATATTCCAAAGACTATGGGTCCTGATAACATTCCAGCAACAGTACTGAAGACTTGAGCTCCAGAACTTGCCGCTTCCCTAGTCAAGCTGTTCCAGTTCAGTTATAATACTGGTATCTATCCGACAATGTGGAAAATTGCTCAGGTATGTCCTGTGCACAAAAAGCAGGACAAATTCAACCCGACCAATTATCACACCATCAGTCTACTCTCAATCATCAGTAAAGCGATGGAAGGTGTTATCAACAGTGCTATCAAGCAGCACCTAGTCAGCAATAACCTGCTCAGTGATGCCCAGTTTGGGTTCTTCCAGGGCTGTCCAATTCCTGACCTCATTACAGCCTTGGTTCAAATATGGACAAAAGAGTTGAATGCCAGAGGTGAGATGTGAGCTACAAGCCTTGATAGCGATGCTACATTTGATGGAGTATGACATCAAGGAGCCTAACAAAACTGGTATCAATGGTTATGAGGGGGCAAACTCTCCACTGTTTGGTGTCAAACCTGGCACACAGGAAGATACTTGTGATTATCCGAGGTCATCTCACCTCTAGGACATCTCTGCAGGAGTTCCTCAGGGTAGTGTTCTAGGCCTAAGTATCTTCAGCTGCTTCATCAATGACCTTCCCTCCATCATAAGGTCTTAAATGGGGATGTTTGCCGATGATTGCACATTGTTCAGCATCATTCGCAACTCCTCAGATACTGAAGCAGTCCATGATCAAACACAACAAGATCTGGACAATATCCAGGCTTGGGCTGACAGGTGACAAGTAACAGTTGTGCCACACAAATGCCAGGCAATGACCATCTCCAATAAGAGACAATCTAACCACTGCTCCTCAACATTTAATGGTGTTACCATCACTGAATCCCTCACTATCAACATCCTTGGGTTACCATTGGCCAGAAACTCAACTGAACTCACCACATTAACAGAGTGGCTACAAGAGCAAGTCAGAAACTAGAAATACTGCGGCAAGTAACTCACCTCCTGACTCCCCAAAGCCTGTCCACCATCTACAAGGCACAAGTCAGGACTGCGATGGAATACTCTCCACTTGCCTGGATGAGTGCAGCCCCAACAACACTCAAGAAGCTTGACACCATCCAGGACAAAGCAGCGCACTTGACTGGCACCACATCCATAAACATCCACTCCCTCCACCCACCAACGCTCAATAGCAGCAGTGTGTACTATCTACAAGATGCACTGCAGAAATTTGCTAAAAATCCTCTGACAGCACCTTCCAAACCCACAACCACTTCCATCTAGAAGGCCAAGAGCAGCAGATACATGGGAACACCACCCCCTTGCATGTTCCTCTTCAAGCCACTCACCATCCTGACTTGGAAATATATTGCCGTTCCTTCACTGTCACTGGGTCAATATCCTGGAATTCCCTCTCTAAGGGCACTCTGGGTCTACCTACAGCACATGGACTGCAGTGCTTCAAGAAAGCAGCTCACCACCACTTTCTCAAGGACAAGAAAGGACAAACAAAAAAAACTCTGTCCAGCCAGTGATGCCCACATCCCACAAGTGAATAGAAAAAACTTCGATTATAAGCACAGGGAGGTTATGTTGGAGTTGTACAGGATTTTGGTTAGATAGAACACAGCTGGAGTACTGTGTGCAGTTCTGGTCTCTACACTATCGGAAGGATGTGATAGTACTGGAGGCGGTGCAGAGAAGATTCAGCAAGATGTTACCTGGGCTGGAGCCTTTCAGCTCTGAAAAATGCTGGATAAGCACAGA